GATGATCCTACAACCATAAAGGACCTATGCCAAAGTAACGAGAATGTAGGGATCCCTGGGCTTGGTCCACATTTTAATCGAGCACCAAATGAACTCTTTGTGAGCCATCAGAATTCACGCGATAACATAATTTTGCCTTTCATCCCGTACTTGGCATGGCAAAGGCTGAATGCGCGCCGTCAGAATAAATAAGTCAAGTGACATTGGAAAGGTCTCTCCTTGGAAACTTCCTTTTTGTTTATGAAGCCAATAGTCTTGGAGGAAGTTGGTCTTTGAAGAGGTCTTTCTACTGCATGCTGAGGAGATCTACGAAATAACTGCCACTAAAGATCATCGGCAGTTCCGGTGCAATGTCAAAACAAATCTTTTCTTCCATGCTGGGCCGATATTCCCTCGAATACTGTTTTCCAGTTCGACTCTTTTTGCGGCTTGTATTTGGAGATACTAAACTGATGAATTTTGTACACTAACTACATAAAATAGGGAGCATAATTTTCTTCAATGAGGTCACTAAAACCCAGTTAAGACGAATGAGTTTTTCGTCATTGTTTGTCAGTCCTGGTCAATCGTTCCATCAACCCATCTATCACTGGTTAGACGTTGCAAGTTAGCAAACTTGTTATTTACTTCTTCATGACTATATCCTGCCAAGGTATGAGTAGGATTCCTGAATATCTCGCGTGACGGCTTTCTATGCGCAGTAGTCAATGGAGATGGTCATCCAATCGCTGCTCCAAACCGGGCTTCAAAAGCCAAGTGTGTGTAGACCTAGCTGGCCTCCTGATCTCCATTTAGGGATCACGTGAACAACTTGCGAAGTACCGTCCCCAGCATCGGTCTACCTTTTTGTTCTATGGTGCAGCATCTTGAATTCCCACAACCTAGTGCGTATTGCCAGACAGCAGAATTATGTCCCGCTGAAGTGCTTTCAAGTGTCTAAGCTACTTATGCTCGGGTTTATCCCGCCTTCCCAGGTGATTTACTAGACGACGACCGCTGTCCTCTGGGTACAAGCTCCTCGGATAGATGCCCGTCAGAGGAGGAACAAAGCTGGTAGGTTGCCCACGGGGACATGAGAGTTCTTCACTCTGATCCACTATTCCCCTTGGTAACTCGATATGCCTAAAAGCAGCGACGACAGTGGTTCAAGGGGTTTAGTTTGCTGCTGCTGAGCACCGGTCTGCAAGTAGTGGTATTCTGAGTCTACCACCACCTCTGAGATCGGTTCGTAGGCATTGGAATTTCGGTTCCCTACCCACCAGCAGGTAACGTTGCGCAATAGTGCTTTAATTCCACTGACTACCCTTGGCAGTGGATGTAAAAGACAGAGATCATTTTAACTGCAAGAGAGCTAGGTGTGAAGACGAGAAAACTGCGACTCCTGCTGTTAAAATTCAACCAAGAAGCTCTATTCGCCCAGCCAGGTTGGTGATCAAAGTGGTCAGGAGTTGTTCACCGCTTCGCCTAGGCTTATTGCTTCCGAATACACCCGGTGTGGAAGCTGATCTGAAGACGTCTGCAACGCATATCGACTGAGTTCAGTTATCGTGGAGATGGATAATCCACCACAGTTAATACCGATGGGCAGCTTGAATGAATGCCATGTTTCAGTTTCAGTTTTTACAACCATTAACCATGCACTTTCGTGCGCCGGTTTTGATTGCTGTCTTTTGGTGTCCCATTTGATAAAGAAGCAGAATGAAGATTGGAATGTTGAAAGCAAATTCAAGCGGAAGATGGAGAACTCATACAGAGTGGTGTTGGGAGAATAATGAGTGGATGCACAAGCGCCACTGTTTACGACACCCAGTCATATCACTCAGTGTTTCTAACCGTCGTTTACGATTAGCCCGAGGTCCCCATCTTAGCTTGACCACCCAATACCTGCCTCAGCGCAAATCGCACGGCTTGGCAACCTATTTGGTGACATACGTAACACATGCCCCAACCAAAATAATCTATCGAAGTCGACCACTTGCTCCAATGGGCGACCGCGGATACCCAAAACTCTACGCCGAACCTCGGCATTGCTCGTCCAGACTCGTGCAATGCTGCGTCGATAGCGGTGCTCAAACGCCGACAGTCTATCTTTATCCCGTTTCCTAAATGACCAAGTTTCTGCGCCATATAGCGGAACTAACCGAACTGCTGCAGCATATACTCGACCCTTCACAGACAACCAAATGTTGCGACGAATCCACAAATGTCTTAAGTTGGCAAATGCCAACCGAGCCTTCTGTATGCGAGCTGACAATTCACCCGTGATGCGTCCACCGGGTGTGATGTAGCTGCCCAAATAACAAAACTTATCCACCTGCTCTATTAATTCCCCAGTTAGAGTGAGGCTGGGTGCTGGAACAACCCAGTCTTATAGCAATATTTTACACTTTGCAGGTGCAAAACGCATACGGAATATGGCTACGCTGGCATTCAAGCTATCCAGAAATGCTTGCAACTTACCTGGATATTCACTTAGTAGCACAATGTCGCCTGCGTACTCTAGATCAGACAGCCTGTCACTTAGGAGTAAATTGCTGCCACTATCCTCGCACGAGAATAGGGCTGTTTCCATAATCATAATATATAACAAAGTTAAACAGAAACGGAGAGAGAGGGCAACCCTGACGAACACCACTTTCCGTGATGAACTCGGGCAAAAAGGTGCCGTAAGCTGGAACTGGACTTCGGCTATTAGTATAAAGAAATTGGATTATTGAAATAAACTTCTCGGGCATACCCTTCCGAGAGAGAGCTTACGCCAGAGTTTAGAGCGGTCGACTGAGTCGAAATCCACTTTCAGATCCAGGAAGACAGAGATGGTGGGTCTAAGAAAAGAATGCCGGTGCTCCGGAATTTGGCGGAGTGACGATGTGGTCGATACAACCTCGGCCAGGTCTAAAACCATCTGGGTACACCGTTCACGTGCGGCAGACAATCGGCGGAGTATGATGCCAGCGAGAAGTTTAGATGCAACGTTGATTAAACTAATTCCTCTATGGTTTTCACAAGAGGATCTGTCATCTTTCTTGTAAATCGGTATGACCTATTCACACCTTTCAGTTGTAACCTCTTCGCTCTCCCACACTGAGCCCAAGAGTTTTTTTTAACACCAAAACCAAGGCTAGACCTCCATCCTTAAAAACCGATGGGGACAGCCCGTCGGGGCCGGAAGCCTTATGTCGTTTGAACTACTTTATTTCCCGAGAAACCTCCATGCCATGTTACCAAAACTACTCCAAGGTTTTTCGCACTCTGACGAATTTATATAATGCGCTTTTCTTACAGACCAAAAAACCGTGGCTAATCAGTACATTCTTAAAGGGTAAATANTCTAAAACCAGCCTGATTCTCACGAGTGCACCGTTCTCGTGCGGCAGACAATCGGCGGAGTATGATGCCAGCGAGAAGTTTAGATGCAACGTTGATTAAACTAATTCCTCTATGGTTTTCACAAGAGGATCTGTCATCTTTCTTNTTCCCGAGAAACCTCCATGCCATGTTACCAAAACTACTCCAAGGTTTTTCGCACTCTGACGAATTTATATAATGCGCTTTTCTTACAGACCAAAAAACCGTGGCTAATCAGTACATTCTTAAAGGGTAAATAGTGTCTTGTCTTGTTGTGGGAGCTCACATACACACACACACTAGTCGATCATTTTCCAAAGCGTTAGTAGGTCATCTGTTGGGCGAACTTCCAGTCCTCATTGCCGTACGCCGTAAGATGAAAATGCCTCTATCCATCCCAACTGAGTTCACCATAGCCAACCATAAACGATTAAGTGACATAAATCCGGTTATCAA